ACCCAGGTCCCTGCTCCAACCCCACACCTGCTCCCATCACCCAGGTCCCTGATCCAGCCCCACACCTGCTCCCACCACCCGGGTCCCTGCTCCAACCCCACACCTGCTCCCACCACCCGGGTCCCTGATCCTGCCCCACGCCTGCTCCCATCACCCAGGTCCCTGATCCTGCCCCACACCTGCTCCCACCACCCATGGTCCATCCTCTGCAATGCCCCTGGTATAGCAGCCTAAGAGAGCTCTGGGCAAATAACTGGGAAATGTCAGGCAGGACTAGGGCTATTCGGTGACCTCTGTGCTGGCTGAAAATGCTGACGCAGAGGTGGCACCTGCTCCCACCACCCATGGTCCATCCTCTGCAATGCCCCTGCTATAGCAGCCTAAGAGAGCTCTGGGCAAATAACTGGGAAATGTCAGGCAGGACTAGGGCTATTCGGTGACCTCTGTGCTGGCTGAAAATGCTGACGCAGAGGTGGCCGTGGCGTGGGAAGGACACTGATAAACTGGAGCACGTCCACCGAGGAATCACAAACACGAGACAGACGGCAAGCCTGGGAGCCAGGGGCTCTTGGAGCCAGTTCTCCTTCTCTCTCCAAGGGGATCCCCGGACCGTTCTCAGGCTGCAAGTGCTGAGGAGACGAGAAACGCCACGGCCTGACAGGCCGGCACAGCGGGATCCAGGGATGGTTTACAGGGACAGGTGAGGTACGGGGGGAAGCGCTCCAGACACGCCGCTGCCGCCGGAGCTGAAGGAGAGCACGTCCAGGAGCCATCAGGTCCCGGCTGTTTCAGGAGCTCAGACTACACCGTCATAACTGCCCTTCCTGGCCTTAAAAAGTATGAATTCCTTCCAAAATTTCCCCAGCTGTCCCAGACTCACTGCAAATTAACAGAACAGGGCAGACACCTCCCTAGGCAGCTCTTTTGGCTTGCCTGTGTGAAAGCCATCTGATTTATTCATTTATTTGTATTTATCCTTCTTAGTAGATGACGGTTTACATTTTCCCATGATGAACAACACTGGGAAGCACTTCATATACCGCATGACACAGGGGCCTCATCTTGGTTTGTTTCAGAGAAGAAAAATGCTGATGAATATACCATGCTTTTAGAATTGTGATTAACAGCTTTCCCACCCCAGTCCAGTACCAGGCCATGACATCACTAGACCTTCTCATTCCCAAAACACTTTAAAACATCACATTTTGTTTCCCTTCATTGTCTCAGCTGCGTGTTTTCCCCAGCGTTTCTAACCTACTTTTTTCTATATCTGCATTTCTTGCCCCCACCATGGTTCTTACTTGCACTTGTGACTGCCCACACTGTCACCTTCACACGCTGCAACAGGCGTACTGCCAGTGCCGTCACCAGCACGCTGCCCACACCATCACCACCGCACTGCCTGCACTGTCACCACTGCAGTGCCCACATCACCACCACCACACTGCCCACACCGTCACCATCCCCACCGCACTGCCTGCACTGTCACCAGCACACTGCCCGCACTGTCACCACTGCACTGCCCACATCACCACCAGCACACTGCCCACACCGTCACCACTGCACCGCCAATGCCATCACCACCGCACTGCCTGCACTGTCGCCACCGCACTGCCCACACCATCACCACCACACTGCCAGTGCCATCACTACTGCACTGCCCACACCGTCACCATTGCACTGCCCACACTGCCACCACCGCGCTGCCCGTGCTGTCACCCATGCACAGCCAGGCTGCGCCCCCCCGCCCTGCCCGTGCTGTCACCCATGCACAGCCAGGCTGCGCGTGCCATGCTGCCCATGCTGGGTGCTCCACGAGGGGCCCCAGGGCCCCAGCCAGCCCTGGCAGGTCCAGCCAGTGCAGCTCATCACACCAGTGGCCGGCACATGAGCAATGGCCCCCAGGAGACCGCTGTTTCTCTCCTGCGCAGACCAACCCATCCTAATGTGACCCTCATAACCGGCCAGTAACAGACCCTGCTCACACCCCCTGTTGCAGGAACATGCAGAGGGACGCACAGGGACAGCGCCCCATGGCACGGGGATGCCAGCTGTGAGGAACGCAGCTGGGGAGGGACCTTGCAGCACGCCTGGACTAAAG